CAGTTTTCCACCCACCAGCTTTGTTTGGAAATGCTCGAATTGATAAATAACCAATATTTGCTTCAGTTAAATTCACCAGGATCTCTGTGGGGTTTGGCCATCAAGAAATTATGCCATCAAGAAATTATGAAAATATCCCATAATTCTAGAAATATTCCCTCTCCTTTAATCCTAGAAATATTCCCTTTCCCTTCTTTAGCCACTGACTGGCCCTGAAGCTGCGATTCACAATAAAATTATGTCATTACGGGGGAAAAAACTCATGAAAATAATGATCACACGTTCCTTAACTTCTGAGGTAAAAYGTGGTTTTCAACAGCACAAAATCGTTGCATTTGGTTAAAAAAAACAACGGAAGGCAAGAGATTTTCATTGTATTTTTGAAGCTCTACCTAATATCAAAGCAAATTCAAACAGCCAGTGTGATCACAGCAGCTGGTGTTGCACTCCAAACTAAAGAATTATAATTAAAACATTGTAATTTAAAAAAAAAAAACCCAACTCTTTGGGCATCTGGAGCTGCATTAAATCTCCAAGGCAGTGTTCATGTAACCTTTCCACCCCTTTTTTTGGTTTTTATTGCTACGAGTGAAAGCTAACATTTAATTTAGCTCYGTGTGTTGCCAGAATTATATAAAATATCAAAATTTTGTGCTGGGATGGAAGTGGGGCTTGGACAGGGGATCCCAGCTCCTGGGAACACCGGGGCTGGGTCAAGCCGAGCCCAAACTGTGCAGCTTCACACCCATCCCTGACCAGAAACATCCCCTTGATGCTTTTCCAACCCTGGAAAACCCCACAGGATGGGCTGAAAAACACCATTTCCACATTTTTTATTTGTATTTTTGTCCCTGAGCTTTGGGCTCCCTTAAAAACCAAAATTGCATTGGGTGAGACCCTCTCAGGTCCAGTTTCAGCAGAAATTTCAATGAGAGGTTTGATTAAATATTTTCTCTACTTGTTTAATGATCACAAAAAAAAAAAGGAGCATCCTGGTGTCTCCTGGAGGTCAGCACTGCTGAAAATGAAATGATTTGGTTCTGCAGAAGAACACAGATAGGAATTAAAATTCACTTCAGTGAAATCGCTGCAGAATTCTGTTTGTGTAAGGAAAACAAAGTGTTTGGAAAAGTCTGGGAGAGGAGGGATTTGATCACAACAGCTGGGCAGATGATTTATTGGGGAAAAAACAGCAGAGGATTTAGATATGGCCCGAGACTGAGAGATCATGAATTAAATCATAAATTAATTCATGAAATCATGAATAACCRACCCCTCTGCGCTGTGGTTTTTGACCCGGTTTTCCCTCTGCCCACAGTCCCCACACAAAAGTCCCTTCAAACCTAAAAAACAGCCCTGCACATTCCTCAGAAGGAAGGAACTACATCCTGGTGTAAATCTGGACAATTAAAACAAAAATTAGCACGTCCACGGTGTGCAGACAGATTGCTGATATTTGAAAGGAATCTTTTTTTTCCCCATTTCTGACTTTTGGGGTCACTGGGAAATCCAACGAGCAGCAGGAAAAAAAGAATTT